TTGGGCCGTCTTGGGGCCATCTGGGGGCGTCTTGGGCGCCTCTGGGGCCGTCTTGGGGCCGTCTTCGGTCATTATTGGCTGCTCTTGGGGCTGCCTTGGGTGCGTCTTGGGCGCCTCTGGAGCCGCCCCGGGGCCGTGTGGGGCAATTTTGGGCCCCCCTGCGGGGCTCAAGGCGCATCTTGAGGCGAGCTGGGGGGCCTGTATAGCCGCCTTGGACGCTGTGAGGACGAAAAAAACGGAACATTATGAAAATGCGCGTTTCCCAAAGGGAATGGGACAATTTTGGCTTCTTGGGTCCCTCCTGGAGGCCCTCCTGGGCCGTCTTGGGAGCCTTCTGGCCTGCCTTGGGGGCCTGTGGCTGTCTCGAAGCTCCCAGGGGTGCTCTGAGACCGTCTTGGCGCCTCCTCGAGCCTCTCGGAGTTGTCCCGAGGCTGTCTGAAGCCGTTCTTGGGGCAGATGGACCCCCCACTGAGCCGTTTTGGGGTCGGAACCAACGGTCAAGATAGAGACCCTTCTCGCACGCAAAGGTCGCTGCATTGGAGAAGAGAGTAGGGCTGACCCGCGGCCTCAGGCCGCAGAATGTGCCTGCCACGGTGTGGGCTCCGCACTGGGGCCGCTCAGGCGCCCGGCGCACGGGAGGATCGACGATAGGACGCTGGAGTAACTGTCCGTTTGGTTTACTTGGGAAGTACCTGTCCATTTGGTTTACTTGGGTTGTGCGTTAGGAGCCTTCTTGGGGTGCCTGGACACTCTTTGGGCCTTCTTCGGGGCATGCTCGGGACATCTCTGTGGCTCCTATCGGCTTTTGGGCCATTTGGGATGCCCTCCTCGTCCTCCCCTGGATCCTTCATCCCGTCGATCTTCGTCAGGAGCCGTCTCCGTTTGTCTGGACCCTCTTGGGGCCTCCTTCGGGTCATGCTCGGGACATCTCTGTGGCTTCTATGGCCTTTGGGGGCTATTTTGGGCGTCCTCCTCCTGCTCTTCCCCTCGATCCTTCATCCCGTGTCTATCTTCGATCGTCAGTCGTCGCCGCTCCCCAAGAGACAAGTATCCAAGGCCTCTTGGGGGCCGTGCGGGGGCTTCTTTTCGTCCTCCTGGGGGTCTCTCGGGGCCCTCTTGGGCCGTCTTGGGTGCCTCTTGGCCCGTCTGGGGCCTTCCTTGGGCGCCTCTGGGGCGCCTCTAGGGCGGCCTTGAGACCGTCTTCGGGCTGTCTTGGGGCGCTCTTGGAGCTGTCCTGGATGCTTCTGGGGCCGTCATGGGCGACTCAAGAGCCGTCCTGGGGACGTCATGGGTCGTCTTGGGGCCTTGAAGTCCTCGGCCCGCCCGGCGGGGCCTGATGCCCTAGCACCAGTGTTTGTTTTCGTCGCGGACAGGCTTCCCATGGTGCCCTGTGATGCGGTGCACTGCCGTCTGGAGACTTTGAGCACTTCGGATTTCGCGCGTTGCGCGCGCGAAATCAGCACTGCGTGGAAAGAGGCTGCACTGCGTATGCGCGTCTGCCCTGCGAGGCACTCCAGTGTCCTGCGGCCAGAGCCGGGATGCCGCTGCAGAAAGACGGGCGGCGCAGAGGACGTGAAGGGCCGCGGGGGAACCATCGAGAGAAAGGGCTCGTCAGACAAGCTCCGAGACGGCAACGCCGTGTGACTGAATTCCCAGTTGCGCGGCGCGTCTTCTATTTGCGCGCGAGGGTGCACGTCCTCGCCGAGGTCGCGCGGCGTGGCGGGCTCAGACACTGAGCCCCCCATCGGCCAGCCCCTCGCGCGAGCCGCGGGAACTCCGCCGATCACACGGCGTCACCTTCCCGCCGCAAATCTGCTCGCTCGGCGCAGTTCTCGGGGCGAGCGCACGTCGTGCTCGGGCACTGCGACCGGGCGCGCCGAGGTGGCCGCGCGCCTCTCGCGATCTTGAGACGGCGACAGCACTGCAGCTCGCGCGTGGGAGCGCTCGCCTCACAGGGGCGCCAGCTCGAGCGGTGCCTCGAGGAGCAGACGCAACCCTCAAAAGCTGGCCTGTGTTTGCTTCGACGTCTAAATGCGTGTCCTGGCGAGTCCACAGGGGCGCCGACGCCAGTGCTCGGCGCGCTTGCGAAGCTGGCGGACTCCAGCGCGGGCGCCTTCAGGAAGCTGGCTGCTCTCCAGAAATGCCCACACTGCCCCCCCACCACCCGAGACGCGTTGAGCGTGGACCTGCGCTGCGCGCCAGATGCTGATGCGATGGCTTTTCGCCCATGGGTTCCCCGCTCGCAGTGCCCAAACACATGGACTTGACAGCGGGGTGGGTCCGAGAAAGATGGCGTTGCGGAGCATGCTCGTGCGGCGGCCATTTTGGCGGGATGAGATGGTTCGCGCGTTGATCGAGCTGTTTGCATGCATTCTTGAAAACCCGCGCATGCATGGGCTGATTCTTGCCGGGGCCTCTAGGATACAGTGGCCCGGTATACACATATAGAACGCACATCCATGCGCAAAATCTTGCTCGGATGTCTACAGACGGAAATCCACCGATGTCCTGGCGCGTCTCGGGCGACGCGATCACGGAGAGATTCCACTGGACTGGGCCGTGCATCTGTTTGTCCGAGGGTGGGGGGGGGGGCCAGGGGGAAGGCGCCCTCGATCCCGATGTCCTTCGGGGCCTTTCGGTAGGTCCTCTCTCTGCTTTCCGAAATGAGGAAGGGTAGCTTGGCGCGCGGCAGGGGGCTGGTCGGCTGCGTCGCGGGCTCGCAGCTGCCGAGAGAGAACATGCATTAGGCGCAGCGCGCTTCGAGCACCCCAATGCCGCGGACACTAGATCACATCATGATCCACTAGGTGCGCATATTGTAAGCGCGTTGGGCAGCTTGGCTTTGAAGTACTGTAATGTTTAGGCTAGTCTCGCATGCTGTCTGCAACGCGTACTACTCGCGCTGCGTGTAATCGTAGCTTGTGTCTGGAATCTGCGTGGAAAGATGCTGCCCTCCTCAGCGCAGTATGCAACCTTCAGTAGAGGCGTGTTCGCGCAGGTCTTGCCGCTCTGGCAATAAGTGCCTGGCGCAGCTCAAACATGCATACTTGTCGGATGTTTGGCGGGCTGAGATTTCCACTCGACCAGAATTGTTCGAGCCTCTGCTGTGCGCGTACACGTGCCTCGAAGTGAAAAACGCTTGCGCGGTTGTCATGCATTGAAAACGTAGCGGCCGACAAATCTGCGTCCCCAGGTTGTGGAAGTCAAATCGTGAACCTTTCCCTGCCCCAAAAAACCAGCCGCAATTCTCGACCTCGCCGATGTCATGGATCTGATCTTGTACGTGTCGTTGTGTAAGGAGGAGCTTGCTCTTGCCGTGTGCCATGATCACTGTGAAATCAGCTATGGCTGCGTAGAGTCGTCCTCGCATCTAGCCGTTGTACCGAAGAAAAAACTGAAGGCCCCCCCTCGCTCACATGACCGTTGGCGCGGCATTTGGGACATTCTCGAAGCCTTGTCGTTTGTCCTTTCCGCGCATGCCCATATCCAGTTTGCGTAGGAGGTCGGGAAACATGGCGTGCCAATGCTATGTAACCTCTGCTGGGCGATGTGGTACCCAGGAAACGGGTTATATAACAAAACTCCGCGGCGCAATTTTCTCAAATCTGATATCAGGGTCGACCTCGGTGATTTCCCGGTGCACAGGAAAGTCGCTTAAACGTGCTCGCGGTACCGGAATACTTCCCGCAACTACAGCACATTGTTGCAGCGTCTTCTTGTCGTACTTTGGCCAATCTGCCAAGTCGGGGTATGCATCGAGAATGTTGCGTAAAGGAGCGCGTGGTCCTTGTGCCTGGCATGCTTTGCGATGCACGCTCGGAAGATTCGCTGGACGAAGAAGGCCATGCGCTCAGAGCATCCTTCACCATAAAATATTGCCATATGCAGGGTAAGCTGTGCTGCTCGTAGGAGAACTCGAATTCATGATTTCCATCTGTGCTATGTAGGTGTCAAGCTGCTTGCAGGGGACCGATCGACCAGGTAACCAAACATTGGAGATCGCTGGGAGATTGACACGCGGAAAGCCATGTCCCATGGCAACAGAAGGCGTCGTACGTTGCACCAACATAATGACCACTGCTACGGTCGCAGACCGAAGCGCCAACATTTGCTCTCATGGGAGATCTGGATCATGCTTTCGTCGACGTCCTGGCCGGGTATGGTCTCAAGACATACAGGTGTACTCGTTCGAACACATATTTCTCACAGGCGTGCTCGTGGAAATCTGGTACTCTGGAGACGTCAGGGTCTGGGTAGACTGCCACTGATCGGAGAATGAAGCTGTCCAAATATTCAGAGTGCTGAGAGAGAAGACAATGAAACTGCAACAATAATGAAGACATGTATGGCCTAGCGGGGATCACACCGTGAAGACCTGACGGTGGTCCTCAATGTGGGATCTTTGTTTTTACTTATCTACCAAGTGAATTCTGCTGGTCAAAGCAATTCTTTATATGGGCCTTGGGATTCCACTCGGACGCATTTCGCCCTCGGCGCTCGCACAGCTGAGCCAGAACAGCGACAGACGTTGATTAGGCAACGTACTCCGTAGCTGTCATCCAAAACTAATATGGCAGCTGAGGCGATCATACATAGACCTGGGGCTGATGCCACGAGCATTGTGAATACACTTATGAACGATACGCCATGTAAGGTACTGCTGACTGAAAGGGATATTGCATCGGCAATGGAAGGTGTGGGGATAAGGTAAGGCGAGTACAGATCTTCGAAGACGACGACAAGTGTTGGTACTGCTGCTGCTGCAGCTGCTTGCTGCTGCTGCTTGATGCGGCAGGGCGTCAACTCTTGCTGCTCCTGCTGGTTGGCGCAACCTGCTGCTCGTGAGAGGATCGAGGAACGAGGAGCCAGGATCGAGAAGGGAAGAAAAGAGTGCGTGGGGCCGCGTGAGGCTCCCCGAGGACCCCACAGAGCCGTCTGGGAAGCGCTGGAGGCGTTTCTCATGCTCTTCGGACAGTCGGAGGGCTCATTCATTGTAGAACAGGTGCTGTTGGGCTCAAGCTTCGCCTCCCACATCTCATGGAGCAGCGCCAGCGACCACTGCCAGTGCATGACCTTCTCGCACGCGCTTATCCCGGCACTGCAACTGATGACGTTGAGTTCCAGCTTAACCTTCCGCATCTCACTGAGCAGCGCCAGCGCACGCTGCCACTGCCCACCCTTCTCGCACGCGCTGATGCCGGCGTTGTAGCTGACTAGGGCAGACCTGTGGACTCCGTCCACGACATCAGCTCGACGTGGCGAGGGGTGTCTGGGCAAGCGCGGGGGGGTGCGGCTGCAGGGCCGAAAGGCAATCATTGTTCTTGTGTGCCTTCGATATGCCGGTCGCCTCTCGTCCGCTCCCCCCCTCCTGGAAGCAATTCTGAGGCCACTTAGGGCTTCGTGGGGGCCGTTTGGGGATCTCTTGGGGCGTTTTTGCCTGCGATATGCCTGTCGCCTCTCGTCCGCTCCCCCGCTCCTGGAGGGAATTCTGAAGCCACTGAAGGCTTCGTGGGGGCCGTTTCGGAGCCTCTTCGGCCTTCTTTTGGGCCTCCCGGGGGGGCTCTTAGGGCCCTCTCGGGCCGTCTTGGGTGCCTCTTGGGCCGTCTTGGGGCCGTCTGAGGCCCGCCTCGGCGCCTCTTGGGCTGTCTTGGGCCGTCTTGGGCCGCTCCTGGGGCCGTCTTGGGTGCCTCTTGGGCCGTCTTGGGCGCCTCCTGGGCCGTCCTGGGGCCGTCCTGGGGCGTCTTGGGACCGTCTTGGGGCCCTCCTGGCCCGTCTTGGGGCTCTCTTGGGGTCCTCTTCGGCCGTCTTGGAGCGGTCGGGGGGACTTCTTGGGCCGTCTTGGAGCGTCGGGAAGCCGAAGAGGCGAGGAGGCCGAAAACATCGAAAAACACAATAGAAATCGACGATTTCTGTCGCTCGGGGCCCTCTTGGGAGGCCTCTTGGGAGACCTCTTCGGGCGTCTTGGACGCCTCTTGGGCCGTCTGGGGCGAATCTCGGGCGTCTTGGGCCCATCTTTAAGCGTGCCGGGGCTCTCCGGGGCCGTCTTGGGGGCTTCTGGGGGCCCTCTCGACATGTCCTGGAGCCTGCCTGGGCGGCCCGGGGCGGCCCGGGGCCAGCCCGGGGCGGTTTCGGTGCATTGGGGCCTGCGCCGTTCTGGCACGCACTGGGCCCTGCAATGTAGTAGAGACTAGGGCTGACCCGTGGACTCCGTCCACGACATCTTTCTGGAATGGTTCTCGAAGGAACGGCGCAGATTGTACCGAAAATCTACAAACACGGCGGCGTCTTGGGCCCATCTTGGGGCGTCCCGGAGCCCTCTGGGGCCGTCTTGGGGGCCTCTTGGCGCGTCTTGGGCCTATCTTGGGGCGTCCCGGGGCCCTCTGGGGCCGTCTTGGGGGGCCGTCTTGGGCTGTCTTGGGGCGTCTTGGGACCGTCTGGGGGCCCTCTTGGCCCGTCTTGAGGCCCTCTTGCGGGCCTCGTCGGTGGTCTTGGAGCGGTCTTGGGGACCTCTTGGGCCGTCTTGGAGCGCAGGGACGGCGAAAAGGGGAGAATGCGAAAAACATCGAAAAGCACAATGGAAATCGACGATTTCTCCCGCTCGGGGCCCTGCTGGGAAGCCTCTTGGGAGGCCTCTTGGGGCATTTTGGCCGCCTCTGGGGCCGTCTTGGCCCAAGCTTCGGCGTCTTGGGCCCATCTTGGGGCGTCCCGGAGCCTTCTGGGGCCGTCTTGGGGGCCTCTTGAGGCCCTCTTGGCGCGTCTTGGGCCCATCTTGGGGCGTCCCGGGGCCCTCTGGGGCCGTCTTGGGGGCCTCTGGGGGCCCTCTTGGCGTGTCTTGGGCCTGCTACGCCATTTGACCAGAATCGCCCTTCTCGCACGCGCGGGGCCCTGCATTGTAGTAGACGTTGTGGGGGGCAGTGCTTGTACGGTGCGCCTGCGACACAGAAGGAAACAGTTCTTCTGCTCGCATCACTCATCGAGTGTGGACGAACGGCGATGACGTCGGCCGCATCCTGGGAGAAAAATTGCGGGGGAAGCAGAGGAAGTCTTCGCCGTGGTCGTGGCCTGGAGGGCCGTCGTTGTCCAGCAGAGGGCTCGGAGGTCTTGGGATCCCACGGGCTCGGAAAGCCTCGGCAGCCACGGCGCCAGGAACGCAGGTGACTGGACCACCGGCGGAGGCCCGAGAGGACGCCAGCAGGAGACCAGGACCACTTGCAGGGGCGGCACCAGTGGACTCAGGACGGCCTCGAGTGGTGACCACAGGACTCGAAGGTGGCGCCGAGATGCTCTCAGGATGGCTCCAAGATGACCTCCGCGTGACCCGAACACGGCGGTCGTTGGGGTCCCCAAGCATGTTCCCGAGCCAGATGCCACGGTGTATGAGTTCCCTAGGGACCGCCCACTGGGTCCGAGATGCCGCGAGTGTTGCTTGGGGGGACCAACGCGTGTCCGGGAGCGAGACGCCCCAGCATTCTGCGCCGCGGGGATGTGAGGATCCTGTCCAAGAGCTCCCGGGCCGGTCTCGGAGCCTGTTAGGTTTCTGCTCGGGTTCGTCTGAGTCTAGTGAGGTCCTTTGAAAAAAGGCTTCAAGATGCGTGACGCCCAGGGAGAGGAGCCTTGAACATAGATGGCCCAGATGGCCTCGCGGCCTCCTGGCAAGGTTTTGAAATACCGCTCTCGGCCAGTTGGCTCGTGCAGCTGTCTGGGTCCTCCCGGAGCTGCGGCGGGCCCTCAAGGAGAACTCAGGCGTTCCCCCTGGGGGTTCCGAGAGGCCCTCACAAAAGCAAATGGCGTCACTCCACATGCTTTTGGGCCTTGGGATCCACCTGAAGCCGTCTTGAAGGCCCCTCGGGGGCGTCTTGGGACTCGCTTGGGCCTACCCTGGGGCTTCAGGCGGCACTCGGGCAGCGCCTGGGAGCGCTCCGCGAAGACCCCAAGTGGGCCCGGAGGTACTCCAAAAGCAAGCGGAGTGACGCCACTTGCTTTTGGGCCATCTTGGAGTCATTTGGGAGTTCTCTTGGGGGGCTCCTTGAAGCCTGTCGGGGTACTCTCGGAACTACCCCCGTGCTTCAAGCAGAAATCAGGCGCGCTCCTGGGAGGCTCCAAAAGGGCCCCAGGTGCACCCCGAGAGGGCCAAAAGGAAATGGCGTCACTCCACTTGCTTTTGGGCTCTCTTGGGATCCACCTGAAGCCGTCTTCGAAGCCTCCGTGATGTCTCGTAGAGCTCGCTCCTGCCTACCCTGCGGCTTCAGGCGGGACGGAAGCGGCCTCCGGGAGCGCTCGGAGAGCGCCCCAAGTGGGCCTGGAGAGAATCCACAAGCAAGTGGCGTCACTCGACTTGCTTGTGGGCCATCTTGGAAGGTTTTTGGAGACCCCTGGGAGTCTCCCTTTCAAGCCTCTCGGGGCCCTCTCGGAGCTACCCTGGGGCTCCAGGCAGAAGTCAGGCGAGCTCCCGGGAGGGTCCAACAAAGCCCCAAGTGCACCCCAAGAGGGTCCAGAAGAGAGTGGCATCACTCCACTTGCTTTGGGGCTCTCTCGGAATGCACTTCAAGCCACCTTCGAAGCCTCCTTGTGGTCTCGTGGGGCCCGCTTCTGCCTACCCTGCGGCTTCAGGCGGGACGGAAGCGGCCTCCGGGAGCGCTCGGAGAGCGCCCCAAGTGCTCCAAGTAGGCCCGGAGAGAGTCCACAAGCAAGTGGCGTCACTCCACTTGCTTTTGGGTTCTCTTGGAATCCGCTCGAAGCCGCTCCGAAAGCCCTTCTGGTGCCTCTTGGGGCCTGCTTGGGCCTACACTGGGGCTTCAGGCGGGACTTCGGCGGCGTCTCCAAAAGCAAGTGGAGTGACGCCACTTGCTTCTGGGCACTCTTGGAGTCCTTTTCGAGTTCTCTGGGTCTCCCCTTGAAGCCTCTCGGGGCCCTCTCGGAGCTACCACCCTGGGGCTCCAGGCAGAAGTCAGGCGGGGTCCTGGGAGGCTCCAGCAGGGCCCCAGGTGCACCCCAAGAGGGCCTGAAGGAAAGTGGCGTCACTCCACTTGCTTTTGGGCTCTCTTGGGATCCACCTGAAGCCATCTTCGAAGCCTCCTTGTGGTCTCGTGGGGCCCGCTCCTGCCTTCACGCGGCTTCAGACGGGACTCAGCCGGCCTCCGGGAGCGCTCGGAGAGCGCCCCAAGTGGACTGGCCCTCGAGGGAATCTGCGAAGCACCCTGCCTTCCTCTAAGAAGCCCTCCCCCCCTCCCCCTGCCCCCCGTCGGCGCGCCGACGAACCGTGGCCATCGTCAACTCGAGAACGGCCCCCGCGAATTGGCGACGACTGGCATGGACCGCGACCAAGACCGGCGTCGACGAGACCCCGCGACGGCAGGGTGGGGGAAGAGGGGGGAGGGGGGGGAGTGGAGGGACGTGGAGGAGGGCGGGGCGAGGGCAAGGAGAAAAGGGGGGGTGGGTGGCCCTGGACGTCGGTCCCCCTCCCCGAGCAGCCTGGCGAGCGCCGCCTCGATCTCTGATTTGCCTGGGCATCGGGCGCTTCGGAAAGAAATGAACCGCCAGAAATGAGCCGCTCCTGCCTGCCCCGCGGCTGCAGGCGGGACGGAGGCGGCCTCCGGGAGCGCTCAGAGAGCGCCCCAAGTGCTCCAAGTGGGCCCGGAGAGAGTCCACAAGCAAGTGGCGTCACTGCACTTGCTTTTGGGCTCTCTTGGAATCCGCTCGAAGCTGGTCAGAAAGCCCTCCTGGGGCCTCTTGGGGCCTTGGGCCTACCCTTGGGCTTCATGCAGGACTTCGGCGGCGCCTGGGAGCGCTCCGAGAAGGCCCCAAATGGGCCCAGAGAGGATCCACAAGCAAGTAGAGTGACGCCAGTCCTTTGAGTCCTTTTGGAGTTCATTTGGAGCTCTCCGGGGGGTCCTTTTGGAGCTCTCCATGGGTCTCCCCTTGAAGCCTCTCGGGGCCCTCTCGGAGCTACCCTGGGGCTCCAGGGAGAAGTCAGGCAGGCTGAGAGGCTCCAACAGGGCCACAAGTGCTCCCCAAGAGGGCTCAAAGAGGAAATGGCGTCACTCCACTTGCTTTTGGGCTCTCTCGGAATGGGCGCCTCTTGGGCTGTCTGGGGGCCATGTTCGGCAGTCTTGCGCCGTCTCCTGCGCCATCGGGGCTTCTCCGAAGGCGACCGAGGCGGCTCCGAGGGCCCGCCCGGAGCTGCCCGGGCCCTGGGGGTACTCTGGCCGGCCCGGAGGGGACCGGCTCGCTGCCACCGCTCGCCGTTTTCGTGCGCGCTGTTCACGGTTTTGTAGGAGAGAAAATCGTCGGGCTCCAGCTTCGCCTCCAGCGACTCACGGAGCAACCCCAGCGCCTGCTGCCACTGCTCTCCCTTCTCGCACGCGCTGATCCCCGCGCTGTAGCTGAAGCAATCGGGATCCAGCTTCGCCTCCGACATTTCGCTGAGCAGCGCCAGCGCCCGCTGCCACTGCTTGCCTTTCTCGCACGCGCTGATCCCTGCGCTGTAGCTGATGCCATCGGGATCAAGCCTCGCCCCCCGCATCTCGCGAAGCAGCCCCAGCGCCCGTTGCCACTGCCCGCCCTTCTCGCACGCGCTGATCCCAGCGTTGTAGCTGCCAGTGTGCACCCGTGGATGAAATCCGCGGCGTGCTGAACCCAGGAGTCGAACGCCGAGGGTGAACAGCTCGTCGAAGCTGAACAGCTCGGGCGTCCCTGGGGCCGTGCCGGGACTGTATCGGGCCCTCCTGCGAGCCTGCCTGGGGCGTCTGGAAGGTCTCGTGCGGTTTCTGAGCGCCCCTGGGGCGTGCTGTGAGGCTGCAATCAGAAGGTCCCCCCTGTCACCCCTGAGGTTGCATTCGCTGCAGGACTTACTGCAGGCTCTAGGAGCCGGGTCCGGCGGGGGGGCCTGCTCCATCTCGGAGTGGTCCAGGGAGGGATTTCGTGGACAGAGGGCTCTGCTCGGCCGCAGGGGCGGAGCGAGATGCTGGTCCCCGCAGTGCCTGCAAGTCCACCCCCCCTGTCGCCCCTAGTCGGGCAGTCGGACGTTAAAAAGAGGGGGAGCGACCGAAGTGGCTGCAGGTCCGGAGGGCCGTCCCCAGAGCGGCCAGAGCCTCGATGAGGGAAGGAGGAAAAGATCAGAGGAGAAGGTCCCCCCTGTCACCCCTGATCGGCCGCAGGGGGGGGATCCATCGGGCGCCGCTGACGCCACTGGTCTGGCCTCGGCGAGGTCCCAGCGGGGGCCGCCGGGGGCGGCCGCACAGCTTCGACATCCCAGTTGGTTTTGTCCAGGAGCTCTGCGGGGCCGTCCTGGAACGCTCGTGGAGCCTCCGCGGGGCCCCATTGGGGGCGACGCCGCCGGCGCAGCCTCGGCGAGGCCTCCTCGGAGCCCGCGGCCCTGGCCAGACAAATTTGACATCCCTGTCGGGTGTGTCGTGGGGCGCTCGAGGGGCTTCGAACCGCGGGGCCCTCCTGCCCCGGTCTGGGGACCCCATGGGGTCCTGGGGGGCTGTTATGCCGGTCTTTGTGCCCATTCTCTCCGTGCTCATTTCGAGCGTCCCGAGTTGAAGGTCGAGGGTTGTGATGTTCCAGCCTACTTTCGCCTAGACCGCCATAAAGAATTTCGAGCACCAGGGCAGTACCGAAACTGGAAGGCCTTCACGTGTCGGGCCCTGGGTCGGCTGCAGGGGGCCGAGGCCGTGCGGGAGCCCGCTCTGGGACCGTCCAGGGGCTGGCTCGGGGGGCCCGTGCAGCTCTGTTGGGCCCGTCTTGGGGCTCTCGTGGGGCGTCTGCCGTCCAAAAGGCTGTTGTAGAGGCATCTCGGGCAAGACCGAGACCATTTCGGAGCTCCCAGGAGCCGTGTGGAGCTGCTCCAGGCCGTCTGGAGCGTCTCCGGGCCCGAAATTGAGAGAACCTGGAAAACCGTCAAGACATTACGAAAATGCATACTTTTTTTGGCCAATCGGGCCGTCATGGGGGTGCTCTGCGGTCGTCTTGGAGGTCTCTTTCTGGTCCTGGGGCCCTCTGGGAAGTCTCGGGGGTAGCTTGGGCCTTGGTGGGACTCCAGCAGCTTGGCCCCAGCGCACGGCTCGTTCGCCCCAGTCTCACTGGGGGTAGTTTCGCAGTCTCTCGGGGATGTGCGTCAAAGTCGGAGCCAATCTGAGGCGTCTCTAGCGACCAGGGAAGGGCTCGGGAGGCCCTCGGGGAAAGCCACCGGGAGCGCCGGGGAGGCTCGCAAGGATCTCTCGGGAGGGCCCAAGAGAGCTTCAAGAGGGCATGATATCTGATAAACAACATTTTAACAACAACAGGGGGCATGCTATCTGTTGGGTCGGACGTGCTGTCTTGTTAGATTGCTGTTACATTGGAGTCCCTCTGGGGCGCCTCCTGGGCTCCTGATTGGGCGGCCGAGAGGCTTGCAGAACGGATCCGGGAGCCCACCCCTTCTGTCGGGGGCAGTTTTGAAGTCTCTCGGGGATGTGCGCCAAAGTCGGAGCCAATCTGAGGCGTCTCAGGAGCGCCCAAGAAAGGCTGAGTAGGCCCTCGGGGAAAGCCGCCGGGAGCGCCGGGGAGGCTCGCAGGGAGCCCCAGAGAGGACCCAATAATGCTTCAAGAGGGTGTGCAATTTTGAAGGGGCCCCAGGACACACAAGTAAATACACACAAATAAAAATGTTCCCCATATTTTCCCATATGTTCTGGGTTTCTGTCTTCCCCCCCACTTCCCATATTTTCCCATATTTTCTGGGGAATCGAGGATTAATTGTGTCTGTGTGTTTTTTCCTCTCCTGAAATTTGAAAAGATCTTACCAGAAATCGCTGTTGGGTCGGACGTGCTCCGCTTCGCTGGGGAGGCCGTTCTGCTGGAGTGCTGTGGACGGCGAAGCTCTCTCTTGGGCGTGTCCGGAGCGCCGGGCGGGGCCCCTCTTCGGGGCAGTTTTGACGCCTCCTTCGGCCTCTTGAGGGGTTGGGGGCCTGACAGGTCCTCTGCTGGGCCTCTTCGATTGAACACGGGTGTTGGGGCCTGCGTTCTGCCTCGCACCTCTCGTCCGCCCCCCTTCTGTTGGGAGGAACTCCGTTGCCACCGATGGCCTCTTGGGGGCCGTGTGGGGGCCTCTTGGGGCTTCTGTTCGGCTTCGAGGGGGCCAATTGGGGCCCTCTTGGGCTCTCGTCGGAGCCGTTTGGGCCGTCTCGGAACCGTCCTGGGCCGTCTTGAGCGCTTCTTGGACCGTCTAGGGGCCGTCGTGGACCGTCTTGGGCGGCTCTTGGGGCTGTCTTGGGTGCCTTCGGGGCCGTCTTGGGGCCGTGGTGGGCCGTCTTGGGCGCCTATGGGGTCGTCTTCTGGCCGTCTTGTGCCGTCAAGGGCCGTCTTTTGGACCGTCTTGGGTGCCTCTGGGGCTGTCTTGGGCGCCTCTTGGGCCGTCGTTTTGGGGCCCTGATGGGGGCATCTGGTGCCGATCTTGGAGGGCCCTGTGGCCGTCGTGGACGCGTCGGAGACGAAAAGCACGAGAATGCCAAAAATGTAAGTTTTCCGATTGGAGTGGAGCGATTTTTTGCGGCCGCACCGGTCTCGTGAGTGGGTCGGAGCGCCCCTGGGGCTGTCGGGGTGGCCTCCGGAGCGGCTCGGAGCCGTCTTGGGGTCGTCGGGGCGCCGTCTTGAGCGGATGCGGGACGTCTTGAGGCCGTCGTGGCGGCCTCTGGAGCGTCTCGGAGCCGTCGTGAGGCCGTCGGGGCGCCTTCTTCAGCGGCTCGGAGGCGCCGGAGAACACTCTGTCCAGAAACTCTTCTGTTCGGACGTTTTGGGTGCGGCCCCAAAAGGCCGGCGTAGGCGCTTCTTGGGCCGTCTTGGGCCGCTCCTGGGGTGCCTCTTGGGCCGTCTTCGTCGCGGAGCCATCCTGGGCCGTCGTGTCACCGTCTCTGGGCACTCTTGGAGCGTCTCGGGGCTCTCTTGGAGGCTTCCTGGGCCGCGTTGGGACGACCTCGCAGGGTCTTGGAGCCGCGTTGGGCCGCTCTAGGGCTCAGATGGCAAGAGCCCGGGAATCCTTCAAAAAGCAATGGAATCTATGCATGTTTATTTCTATGTATATATGTATATACATATATATGTATTTACATATATGTGTATATATATATACATATATATGTATTTCTATATGTACATGTATATATATATATGTATATGTATATATATGTATATATATTGGGCCGTCTCGGGCCTTGACGGGAAGTTTCCTCGGCCGTCTTGGGAGGCTCGTCTCCTGTCGTCGGGCACTTTTGGGCCGCCCTGGGGCTCACTGGAAGTCCGCTCGGGCCGTCGGGGCGCTCACGTGGGCGGCTCTGAGCCGTCCTGGGGGCCGTCCCGGGCCCTCTGGCCTCCGTGGGGATGCCCTCCGACGCGGTCGTGGGGCGCCCTGCGGGGCCGCCCGGGAGCTCGCGGGGCCCCGCCGAAGGGCTCCACTGACGTTCGAATCTTTTCCTTCCGGCACGCGCTTCTGCCCGCCATGTGTAGGGGAGACCAGGGCCCCACGTCGTCTAACCTGTTGGGCCGTCCCTGAGCTCTCTGTGAGCCCTCTTGTGCGGCTCCCTGGGGCCCGTCTGGGGGGCTCCTGGGGGCTCTCTCGCGCCGTCTCGGGTCTCTCTTGGGCTATTTTGGGCTCCTCACAGAGCCGTCTTGGAGCACTCTTGAACCGTCTTGGGGCCTTTGCCAGAACCTCTAGAGTCTTGGAACATTCGCGGGGGGCCCAGGAGCCGTCTTGGGCCGCTCAGAGCTCGAAATTGCGAGAACCCCAAAATCAGGCAACAACCATAAAATCATAAATGGTTTTTGGCCACCGCGAGCCGTCTGGACGGCCTCCTGGGCCGTCTGGGCTTCGTAATGTGCGCCAATTATCGTCCTCGTCCCTCCGAGAGCCCAGGAAGATGTCTTTCCCTCGCTCCCGGAGCTGTCGTGGAGCACTCTTCGGCAGCGTCGAGGCTCTCATCGGGGCCTTGTGGGCAGTCTTGGTGCGTCTCGGGTGGGTCCTGAAGCTTGGCTGGGCTGTCTTTGCGCGAAATCCCGAAAACCCGAAGAACTCGGACAAACATACGCAAAATCAATAATTTCGGCCGCCTCGGGCAGGGGCATTCTGGTGGCCTCTGGGGCGGCCTTCGGGCGATCTTGGCGTTTCGGAGCGCTCGCCGGCCGCCTCGGAGGCATCTAGGACTAGCATGGGGATCGCGGACAGAATTTAACAAAGCACCTTCGTGTTAACTGTCGTCCGCACCTCGCCGAGGCTCGGCGGCTGCCCCGCAGCGTTTTTGGAGCCTTTTGGTTCCCAGGCCCTTTTCGCACGCACGCATGCCTGCAATGTAGGTGCGACTAGGGCTGACCCGTGGACTACGTCCAAGAAATCTGCACGAACGTTGCCGAAGTGAGATGTTTCCCACTCCCCAAAGCCCTCCCCCGGGAGCCTGGCCCGGTCGATTTGGAGGGGGGGGGGAGAGGTCCCCCGGGAGGTGGGTGAACGCGCGTGGGGGGGGCAGAAGGCCCCAAAACAGGTCAAAAGGCATGGGGTCGTCCCCGAGGGCCACGAATCGCTGAAAGATCGATCCAAAACGCCCATGCTGGCCTCCCGAAA